AGGTTGGACAATCTACTTCCATAGAGATACCACCTCAGAAACCCAAGGAAGGGTCACTATGAGTTGGGTTCGACTTGACAGCACATAACAACAACAACAAATTTTTTTTATATATAATTATCATAGTATATCTGTGAACAAGAATGTGGACTGAGAAAGAATTGGCTGACCCAGACTGATGTAAGGAAGATTTTCATAAAAGAGGTTACATTTGTATGCTGGATCTTAAATGAAAGTATGATTTGACAGAGTTGATAAAGTCTTTTAAGCAGAGGGAGTCTCCTGACCAGGATCAGTTCAATATCTTGAGAATGTAGGACACGCATGACTATGGTGGAATTATGGGGTGTGAGAGATGGGCTAAAGAGTGGAGCTGAGACCAGAAAGGGAAGGTGTTTGTATGTTGGACTAAAGTTCTGAACTTCATCTTACAGGCTACCAGCAAGGAGTACTAGTGCTTTGATAAGGTCAGGGCAGGGGTGTGAAGGAGTGCCTGGGTGAGTGTGATGAAGCACGTGAGGAGCTCCTGCACTAAGGGGTCTGGTGGTAGATGCAGACAGCTCCAGAGAACAGCGGGTTAAGCATGTAGAGCGTATAGATCTGTGAGCATAATAGAAGGCAGCCTTCAACAAACTGCTGAATTGTACAAAACCAGATGCCCAAGCATGCAATACACATGATGCCATATGTGATGCAATACACATGATGCCATATGTGACTTAGAATGGGTTTCCTAAGCTTTGAGTGATTCACATAGTTAGAAGAAAGTGGGCAGGGCATGCCAGTCAGAGCTTAGAGTTTTTCCTTTTGTCTTATGTTCTTTTTTATTGTTGTTAATTTGGGGAAGGGAGTGTGGAGCAGAGAAAGCGTTCGTTTGGCATCTTGTGGTTCAGCACTCAGAGGTTTCTAGATTCATGGTTCTGTATTTAGATGGCGATGAAGTACTTGAGGTCTGTACCCTCACTGTACATCACGGTCGTGAGCAAATAGCAGATTTATTAGTCTAATGTTGTTGGGTGCTGTCGAGTCAGTTACAACTCGTACTGACCCCATGTGACAGTAGAACTGCCCTATAGGTGCGCCTTACGCAAGCCATTGTGTTTTCATTCACCTCATATGCATGTGAGAGCTGGACAGTGAATAAGGAAAACTGCAGAAGAATCAAAGCATTGGAGTTGTGGAGTTAGGGAAGAATGTTGAACGCTAGACTGCCAGAAGAACGAACAAATCTGTCTTGAAGGAAGTACAGCTGGAATGCTCCTCAGAAGAGAGAGTGGGTAGGCTTCCTTTGTCGTACTTTGGTCATATTACCAGAAGGGACCAATCCCTGAAAAAGGGTGTCATGCTTGTTTAATAGAAGATCAGCGATAAAGGAGAAGACCCTCAATGAGATAGATTGGCATAGTGGCGCATGGATGGGCTCAAGCATGGCTAACAGTTGTGGATAGTGCAGGACCAGACGGTGTTTCATTCTCTTGTACTTAGGGTCACTGTGAGTCGGAACTGACTTGACGGCACCTAACAACAAAGACAGCATGGGTTTTCTTGGCTGTGATCTTTACTGAAGCAGATTTCCAGGTCTGTCTTCTGTGGAGCAACTGGGTTGTTTGAACAACCAAGTTTTCAGTTAGCAGCCGAGTGCTTAACCATTGCACCACCAGGGTTCCTTAGTCTAATGTTAGGTCTAGTCATTTATGTAAAGTTCATCAAGGGGTCACCTTGTTTTGCCAGCAGCAGGCTTCACTAGCCTAAAGCTCTTGCTTTCCCATAGCAGCTTGTGATTGTATGGCTCCAGTGTGTGGTAGAAAATTGATTTCTTGGTACAGAAAAGTATTGTGTGTTATTCTGCAAACAAAGTCAAGACATTCATGATTTTCTTTTCATGGAGTCATTACTACGACTTTCATGTATTACACTAGAAATACATGAAAAGGCTAATGTTTTCCACTGATTGAATGCTTTATAAATCTGATTTTGTATTTATGCATACGCACACATATAGAATACGTAGTAGGTGAATATTTAAACTTAAAGCATCTACTAATAAGTTTTCCTTGCTTGTTCTTTCCTAGTTTATTTTGTGTTTGGAATAAAAACTTACTTTTTCATTAGCATTTCTTTCTCCTTTGATCTTGCCTTATAATGGTAAATGCTAATGCTCATAACATTCATTTCTGTTATTAAAATCGTAAATTAAGACATTAGTAGAGTTGTTCCTAAAGTCATGTTTTTATAACTAAAATGTAATTTGAGAAATATCTTTATACGTATATTGTGTATGCATACTAGCATATGTAACATACAGTATAGTTTAGAATTGGTATCAGGGTATCAGTTCAGTTGCATTGAATAAATACATGAATTTTATCCAGAATCTGACTGGTGTAGGATAGGAAATTACTGGAAGGTTGGGCAATCTACTTCCGTAGTGATACTGCCTTGGCAACCAAAGGAGGGGGCGCTAAGAGTCGGGGCCGACTCAATGGCATGGCACATAACAACAACAACAATGAATGAATTTTTCAGTGTAATAGCCATATAGAATATAAACTGTTTGAATTTAGAGATTATGAGAATAAACCCAGGAGGCCTGTCAAATAAGAGGGAATATGCTAGAACTTCGCTTTCTCTAGCAATGACTTAGTGTTACTGAAATCTGTTACCCAAAACAGTGCCCGAGTTAAACAGAAAGGTCCTTACCTTTCACGCTAACTTACAAACTTAACTCATTATTAGATATTTGAACTTCAGGGATCCTGAGTTGAATCTTAAGCAGCAAACAGAAGTAACAGCCGAGTTCTTAGAGAAGAGCCGAGCCACAGCAGTCCCCACCTACCTACAGCAGCATTGGTCAGCTGTTCTGTGGCTGCTCAGCCCTGTGCTTGAGCTGGTTCTGGTTCTCCTGGGCTCTCGGCCCCAGGCCAGGCCTGCCTGTGCACCCGTCCGTACCTTCCTCGTTGTCTTTCCCTCCTGGGAGACTGCCATTTGTGTTGATCCCCCCTTCTTTGGGTCTGATTTTTTTTATTCTTTTCAAAATTCTGTTCCACCAGTCCTCGCTAGACTTGCCACTCCTGTTAGAAAGATGAGATCTGTAGTCATTTTAAAAGTATTAGAAAGGTATTAGAGTGTTGACGTAGGAAGGAGTCTTGCTTATTCCTACGTGGATTTCTGTCTCTCCTGTGTGAAAATGTTAGGCTAAATTTGAGAGCCTCAGATTTAAACAATTTGAACTAATCTATAGAAAGTATGTATTGTGCCTAATATAGCAATATAACAGGCATCTCATTAACTTTATTTTATATATGGAAAAATAAAGTGTCAAATGTTTCATGAGTAAGAAAGAGCAAGTCAGTAATGAAAATGAGTTTTCATCTATGAGTCATTGGAGCCTCCTGAAACAGTTCACTTTAGCCTCCAAGGTTCAAACTTCAGAGAATTTCATCAGATCATTTCACACTTTGCTTTTGAATATTATTTTGCATTTTATTTTTATAAGACCATTTTGCTAGTGTAAATCTTTAAATTAAAAATTTAAAATGTCCTTTTTAAAAAAATAAATAAGATTATTAGATATAATGGGAGCTCTGGTGGCATAGTGCCTAAAGCATTTGACTACTAACCAGGAGTCTGGCAGTTCAAACCCACCAGCTGCTCCTCAGAAGGAAGGTTGGGCAATCTACTTCTGTAGCATTTTTCATTTAAAAAAAATAATAAATATTGTTGTACCTGCCTTATGAATGAGAAAATCTGTCCACCAATTCTTAAAGTCTTTTTAGTTTTTACTATTTCGTAGTATTAGCTTGGTATTTTTAATACAAATTATGTATCTCCTCCCATCTGTCTCTAGGATACTGCTATTGTTCATCCAGTTCCTATTCGAATGACTCCAAGCAAAATCCACATGCAGGAAATGGAACTTAAAAGAACTGTCAGTGGTAAGCAAGCTGTAATTATTATATTATTATGCACAAGTATTTATTCTGCCAGAGTTCAGGGTTTTGTTTTGTTTGTAATTACATATTTTATTTAACCTAGTAGTTTGCACTAGTTTATTTGCTTATTTATCTTTTTATTTATTTCCGTTTTAAAAAGGAAATAGTTTAAATTACCAAGTGTTCAAATAAGGACATTTGGAAAATAGGACTTTTCTAATACCCTGACAGGTTTTTTTGTTTGCCTTTTATTGTTGTTAGTTGTGATTGGGGTGAAAGTTTACAGAGGATACTGGTTTTTCATTCAACAGTCTAACGCATTGTGTTTTGTGACATTTGCTGTAATTCCCACACTGTGACAGCATTCTTCCCACTTCCTCCCTGCACCCACTCCTTCCCTTCATCCTTCCTTCCCTCCCCTCGCAACTTCCTAGCTCTTTCCCTGGGCAGATGCTGCCTTCTTGATCTCATGCTTGATTGTTTTAATGAGTGTATACTCTCCTGTTCACATTACAGGCCTGTCTGTTGTTTGACTGAAAATTGAGTCACAGGAATTAAGTTTTATTATTAGCTTGAAGGATGTCTAAGGGCCATAGTCTTGAGAGTTCTACTGGTCTTCATCAGACCAGTAAACCTGGTCTCTTTTATGATTTTGAGTTTTGTCCCCCCACTCTGTCTGGGGACCTCTTATTGTGATCCCTTTCATAGCGATCAGCAGTGGTAGCCTGGCACTATCTAGTTCTGGTGTCAAGGTCATGGATGCTGGGTTCATGTGCTCCATTTAGTCTTTGGACTAATTGTTTCCTGTGTCTTAGATTTCCTTCACTCTTCTTTGCTCCAAACGGAGCCAGATAATAGCCACACCTTAGGTGGCTGCTCACAAGCTTTTCAGAACCCAGCCACTGCTCACCAAAGTAGGATGCAGAACATTGGCTTTGTGACCTGTTATGCCAATTAGACCCTGTCAATGTTTATAGTCATTGTTGTGAATTTGCATTTGAAGTATGTTAAAATTCTAACTAAAGAGGTATTTGTTAGATTTGGGCTGTGAAATTGTATATTTTGCTTTTAACTGTTGGAAGTTTTCCCTTATTTTACATTAACTATTTATTTATGGTTTTTCGGAAGTAAATTTATTTTCTATATAGGTTAACGTGATAGATTATTTTACAGTTTGTCTATAATTAAAAATGTATGAACATAGTAATTAACTTTTTATAAAGTTATGGAAGAAAACAAAATTCTGTATAACAGATTTATATTTGTTTTTATTAAAAATATGATTCTGTCTTATATCCCATGGATTCACTTGCCACTTCTTTGGAATATCTAAATCTAGTCTAATCTTCTGTTCTGAGTTTATTAATTTATTGATTCAGATATTATATCTTGTATTTTTACGTACTAATTCTCTACTAGATCATAATAACCCCACTAGCCCGTTACTTGTGAAACCACCTGACCTTTCAGAAGAAAATAAAATAAATTCATCAGTGAAATTTGCTTCTGGAAATACTGTAGGTAAGTGAAAACCTAAAATTTAAGTCTGCATTTAGGTACTGAATAATTCAAATGTGTAGTCATTTCATACTAGCATCACTGAATAAAATAGAGAAGAGTCAACCCTGTTAGACACCCCTCTTCTCCTGGGCATGAATCAGTGGTTGTCCATTGACTGCTTCCAGAACCAACATCCAGGCAGACCTCCTGCTTCCATCCTGCTCATCACAGCAAGGCTTGATCCATCAACTCGTCTCACTGGTCCTTTGTTCCTCTCTCACAGGGGAATTACACATTATATTATCTGCAGTCAGTATGTATCCAGTGATTGTTACCTACTACTGTACGCAGATCTGTTCTAAGCACTGAGGATATATCAGTAAACCAAAAAGAAAAAAACAACCCATACTCACTGCCATTGAGTTGATTTGACTCATAATGACCCCTCCTTGGGTTTCCAAGGCAATATCTCTACAGAAGTAGATTGCTCCATCTTTCTTCCGAGGAGTGGCTGGTTTCACAAGTAACGGGCTAGTGGGGTTATTATGATCTAGTAGAGAATTAGTACGTAAAAATACAAGATATAATATCTGAATCAATAAATTAATAAACTCAGAACAGAAGATTAGACTAGATTTACTCTTACGAAGTTACATTCTCTGGGAGAAGTAGGAAGAACAGAGATAAAAGTAGCTTATTTAGAAAGTAATTAACATTGTGGACAAAAATAAAATTGGGAAACATGGGAAGTGCCATTTTATAAAGGTAATTAAAGATGGCCTTACCGGAGGTGAAATTAAGTTTAGATTTGAAAGAGGTAAGAGAGTTGGCTGTGTGAATCTGAAGGAAGGACATTTAAGGCATAGGGAACAGCAAGCCCTAAGGCAAGAACAGAGCTCTAGTGGCATAGTGGTTAAAGCATTTGGCTGCTAACCAAAGGTCAGCGGTTCTAACCTACCAGCTTCTCCTCAGGAGAAAGATGAGGCAGTCTGCTTCCATTAAGATTTACATCCCTGGAAACTCCATGGGCCAGTCTCCTCTGTCCTGTGGGGTTGCTGTGAGTCGGGATCGACTGGATGGCAGTGGGTTTGCTTTGGTTTGGTTTAAGGTAGAAACAGGCTTTTACTTCTGTGGGGAACAGGAAGCAAACACCTGGAGCAAAATTTGTGACTGGGCAAAGGTAGCAAGTGGTAGTAACAGGAGCAGTGTAAGGACTGACTTGGACTTAGTAAGGTTAAAGCCATCAGTGGGTTTGAATTGGGGAGTGGCCTGGCCTGGCCTGGCCTTTTTAGCTGGTTCAGTTTGGCTCTTGTATTGATAATAAGCTGGGAGGAGCCAGGCATTGAAACAGGGAGAGACCCTTAGGAGACCGTTACAATAATCCAGGCAGGAAAGGATCTGGTGTGATAATAGTGGAGTGCTGAGAACTGATTAGATCCTGACGATTTTGCATAGAAAAAAACACAGGATTTTCTAAGAGGGACAGCCAAGTCAAGGGCAATTCCAGGGATTTTGGATGGAAGGGCTGTGAGAGCAGGTGTGTGTTGGAAGGCATTCAGTTTGGGATGTGTAAAGTTTGAGATGCTTATGAGAACACCCGGGAGCTTTGGTAGCATGGTGGCTAAGGCACTTGACTGCTAACCAGAAGGCTGGCGGTTCAAACCTATCAGCCACTCCTCGGAAGGAAGATGGGGCAATCTACTTCTGTAGTGATACTGCCTCGGAAACCCAAGGAGGGGTCACTATGAGCCAGGTCAGACTCAACGGCACATAACAACAACAAATACAACATGAGAACACCCAGGTGGACAACATGAGAACACCCAGGTGGGACTATGTTAGCTTTAGTGTCATTCTTGTGTCAGTGGTCAAGAAAAGGGAAAGGAATAGGTTTTGAAATGAAAGTAAACTAAATTAGAAGTCCCTCTAATTTATAAAACTCGTGGAAATAGGTAGTAGTATCCCTTCAGATTGCCCTTAAAGTGTCTATCTTAAGTTTCCTTCCTTATGAAGATCTCTCTGCTCTTTCATAAGACTTTGAAGAAATGGGAAGTGGTGTTTCCTCTGGATAACAATCAGGGACCTGGCTGAAGTCACACATTTTATTACTATCTCAGCACAGTGTATTCCATGGCAGCTCTTTCATTTTTCATATTTATAATTTTAAAATTAGATTCTTTTTAATACTTCTAATGTCTTCTTTTTGGTCATTACCAAAGTAATTCACATTTATTGTAGAAATGCAATACAGATAAACAAAAACAAAAAATAAGAATTATGATAATCTCACTATTCCACAAATAACCATGATTAACATTCAGTGTCAGTCTTATACGCTTTCTGAGCATATGTAACCAGGTATGTTTTTATAAAGTGAAATTATACCATATGACTATTTTGTAACCTCTTCCTGTGTAGCTTATTTTAAACATTTCTGTCATTAAATACTAATCTTTCTAGACTGTAACTTATTCTGTATTTTGCTGTATGAATATGCAGTGATTTGTTGGATTAATATTTAACTTTTTCCAGGGTAGTAACACTGGGAACAAATAGCATTTTACCAGTTTCTTAGTATCTCTGATGTTAAAAAGAGTATCAGTTATATTTCTTTGGGACATATAGAGTAAAAAGTACAGAAGGGACTGTTATTAAATAGAATATATTCCTTTTGTCAGCAGATGGTTACAGTAGTTCAGACTCCTTTACTTCTGACCCGGAACAGATTGGGAACAATGTAACTCGTCAAAGGTCAGTATTTCTGTCAGTAACAAGCAGTAAGGTATCGTGTTACAGTTTGATATTTAAAATTATTTAGAATGAAGTACGTATTATTCTGTTTTCTGAAGGCTGTTAGGTTTTCTATTTGTTGATTTCTGTAAAAGGGAAGTACATAATTCTGATTCTTTTCATCCTTAATAGAAAATCAAAAGAAACTTTATTTTCTTCCTGGTCGTTTTGTGGAAAGTTTAAAAAGAGCTGATGACTTTCTGGCAGTAGACCTTTATTGTATTCCTTTTGCAGCTAAACAATGTGAGTGTTTAAGTAAGTGGTGTATGCATTTCTTATTACAGCTTTACGGCAGGTGCCAAAAGAACTGTTTTAAAATGCCATCCAGAAACCCAGCTTAATGTTGGACTATGTACCCCACCTGAAGAAATCTGTTCACATACAACCTTTCAGGCACAGATAAAAATATGTGTGGGATGGGCAGAAGGGGTTTATCTGCAAAACTGTAACATCCACTGAAGGCTGTGTGCAGGGCAGAAGCATCTTTGTCCCTCGCTTTTTGTACATGTATGTCTCCCTTTGCCACATGCCTGGAGGTTGTAGAGAGAGACTAGTAATACTGTCTCCAGAGAGCTGATAACTCTTTGCTGCTTGGCCTCTTTTCTGGTTCTTTATGTAGTTCTTCCTGTGTTTCTTAGAGTTTCTGCCATCTTGGGTTTTTATATTCTCTTCTCTTAGCCCTGTGTGCAAAGATCAGCTCACCAGAGTCTGTGGAAACAAGTCTCTTTTTAGACTAGCAAAGGCTTTGTAGCAGGTTAGTGGAGCACTAGGGCAAGTCAAACGTGCGTACAGTTGCCTCTAAAATGAGTTGGCTTCTGGTGACACAGGAATGAGATACCTCAAGTACTTGAGCCAGATTCTGCCTCAAGTTTTAAAAAAAACTGCAAACATAAACAGGTTGAAAGCTAATCGGTAAATAGAGTTTCTCTATATATAAAATAGTTTTTCATACTGATGTTTCCTTTAATTGAATGGGAAAACATTGCACAAGATTTGTGGTCTACCTTGATCATGTAGTAACTAACTTTTCAAAATTTTTGAAATTTTGTTTAATATATAGTTTTATTTTTTAAAAAATATATAGATCATATCATAAACAGTGCTGACTTCATTTATAGTAGTACTTGTTTTCTTGAGAAAATATCACTGCTGATAAGATGCTTTGCTGTTTATCAGAGTATGAACGCTTACAAAGAAAAAAGGCTCCATTACCAGTAGCGTGAACAATTGTAATGGAGTCAGTTTTACAGGTCTCATTCAGGAACGTCGCCTGACAACACTGCACCGCCACCTCCGCCTCCAAGGCCACAACCCTCTCATTCTAGATCCTCATCTTTAGATATGAATCGGACCTTTACAGTCACCACAGGTAGGAGTTAGAGAAACATGGTTTATGTTACCTGATTTTAAGGTTCATGAAAGATACACAGCATTTTATTTTATTTTTGCCTTCTTAAATGTCTTATGTAATTTTACATTTACGTGAAGAAAAATTATAGATTAAAAGATATCAGAAAAATGGTTTTTTTTTTTTTTTTAATTAGGATTTGGGTGAAGATTTACAGAATAAATTCACTTTTCATACAGCAGTTCACATATACTTTGTCTCATGTCATTGACCAAAATTTACAATGCAGCAGCTCCCCTCCCACTTCCTCCCCATAGTTACCTCCTCCCAGTGTCCATCCCTTCATACTCTTCTGCACCCTGAGCTATCTCCCTGTGCATAAGCAGCCCTTCCTTCTCCCATGATTGTTCTCTCCAGGGCGTGTGTCTACTTGAGGTAAATGTTTAACTCACATGCCTGTACTTTGTTTGGCTGGAAACCAGAGTTGTGGGTTCAATTCCAGACCTGAAGGGCAGCTAGGGGCCATAGTCTCAGTGGTTACACCAGGCTCTATTGGACCAGCAAACCTGGTCCCCACCTTCTTTTTTTTTTTTAAGTTTTTTTAATGACTGTCTAAAATATGTTGGCTAAAAATTAGAACCTAAAAGATACCACAGTCAACTTAAAAAGAAAGATATTGGAGGGAGATAGTGAGGGTGGGGGAGGTCTAATAGGTCTTGTTGATTAATTTGACTAGGCTGATGAAGGACAGAGAAGATTCGTAACTAACTCCAAGGGTTCATTTTTTATATAATGGGTAGTAGTAGTAGTAGTAGTAGTAGTAGTAGTGATGGTGGTGGTGGTGATTGAAATAGAAAATTAGGGACAGAGAGTGATGATGTTCCATGTTAGTCATTATGCGTTTGGAAAGGGGAAATAATCAACAGGCCCTGGGACTTGTGCACTGAGAAGAATTGAGGGTGCTTTGCATGGATATGGTAGAGTGATGAAGTGTTAAGTGGAGAGGGAATATATGGAAGTCTTCATATTTGGTGGCTAAAGAGTAGGCAGAATATGAGAAGGAAACCAAAAATATCTAATATTATGGAAACGAGGGGGAGCGAGGATGTCAGGAGTGCAGTGAGCAGTAGAAGCAGCAAGAGAAATGACGTCTGAGGAAAGTCCGTGAGATTTCGCCAGTAGCTAGAACAGAGACAGTTTTACAAGGTAATATGCCTTTTAAACACTTAGCAAATATTCTTAGAAATTTTCATCATGTGGTGACATTGATTCAGCCTGTTTCTTCTGTTAGCAAAGAAATTATATAGTTACTTTAAAAAAAAAATGGTGTATTGTGTGTTCTTGCAGGACAGCAACAGGCTGGAGTTGTTGCCCATCCCCCTGCAGTGCCTCCAAGACCACAGCCCTCACAGGTAATTTAGTCTTTTTTTTTAATTGTGGTTTGGTGAAAGTCTATGGAGTAAATTAGCTTTTCGTTCAACAAGTTACGCACATTTTGTTTTGTAACATTAATATAATTCCCTCAACAGATAATTTAGTCTTCATGGTATTCATTACTGTCAGTTGTTACGAGTCTCCGTGAAGTATTTGATTCTATTCTAGAATTCTTCTGAAGTGAACCGAATGATAATGTCTCAAAAAGGAGAGTTTATTAGAAAGAATAGTGGATTGAAAGATGGGAGATATGCCTGAATGTCTTGGGTCTACCACTGACTCACAGATTGACCTCACTGCGTCTGTCCGGACCTGTGACTGCATCAGTAAAGGAAGTATCAGATGACCTCTGAGTCTCTGCCAGGTTGAAGTTGTTTTGATCTGCACTAAACTTTTGTCTTTCAGGATAGACTTCTGGATTATTGCTGCTAGTTTTAAATTTTTACATGAAAGAATTTGGTTGGTTTTTCTTAGTTAGGGTTTTATAATGAAATTGGGAATAAGTGATTAAGTGATTATCTCCTTAATCATAAAAGGTACTGATACGTGAATATTTCAGTATTTCATGTAAAGTGGCAGCAAAAACACTTTTACTAAAGTTAAGATATGAAACTCAATGAGTTGGTCTCATGACTGAACAAACTTAGTCTAGTAGTGAAGACAGACCTGGAAACAACAATAGTCCTAGTAGAAGTGCTAGAGTGGCACTATTCATAAATTATTTTAGGACAGCTTTACTGGCTAGTGAGGAGCTCTGTTGGTGTATGGTTATGGCATTTGGCTGCTAACTAAAATGATGGTCAGTGGTTCAAGCCTACGGCTGCTCCACAGAAGAAAGATGAGACAGTCTGGTTCCATAAAGATTTACAGCCGTAGAAATGCAATGGTGGTCGCTATGAGTCAGAATCAACTTGACAGCAATGAGTTTGGTTTTGGTTTTAGTAGCTAGTAAAGTCGGGTATCATACTGAGGAGGCAAAAATACCATGAAGGCAGTACAATTTGAGCAGAGTTTTGGCAGATAAAGTGCTAGTTATTGGGAGTAGGCATCAACAGCAGAAATGATACAACAAAGACCTGGAGGAGTGAGTTCAGCCTGGCATATTCTTCAGGAAAGATGAGTTCAGTCCAGCTGGCATGCACAGTGGGACGGTGGGAAAAGAAACTGGAGAGGTGGGCGGAGGCAGAGCACCTTCTATATCGTTCTAAGAAGAGGAGAATTTTCCTTCTTGGAGATGGAAAATTTGAAAAGAGTAACCAGGAAAAAAGACTTCAAATTTATTCCTGGAGAATCCTGCACTTTGTCATAAAATGTCTCACACTTAAATTCTTTGTTTACTCTCCTCTTACTCTACACTAGACTGTCAGCTTTATTAGGAATGGATCTCATTTGTTTTGTTCACTGTTGCATCTATAGTGCCTGGCACAAAGTAGACACTCGAGACGTGTCTGTCTAGAATGAAGGTTTTAGATTGCTCTGGCAAAGGTATGGAGGGGAAGAGTGCCTCAGGTCCTGAGAGAACAGGTAAAGCAGTGGTTTTTACACTTTGAAATTAACAGCTTTTTAAGAAACCTAACAAAACACTTTTTAAAATCATTTTTATAAAGAACAAACTGTTGTGTAGCCCATAAAGAAAACAATAAATAAAAGCAGAGCCACTATAACTAATGTGCAGGTAGATTCGAGAGGATCAGACCAAACCCTTCCCTCTCCTCTGACACACTTTATTTGCTGATGAGAATATTTTAAAAGTAACTTTTTTTATTGGATGATTGTCATATTTGTGTGTGTATGTGTCTTGGATTTTCACTTAGCCTTTCAGAGCTAAACGTTACTGTGGTACGCCTCCCGGAGTTTATAGTTAATAAAATAGATCATCTTTGTGACATATTTTCGAAGAAAAAGAAGACCGCTCTGATAGGATTTGTCAGTAGACTGTCTGCTCTTTTCTTCTAAACCCCCTTCTAGGCTCCTGGTCCCATTGTGCATCGCCCAGTGGATGCCGATGGCCTAATAACACACACTAGTACCTCACCTCAGCAGATACCAGAGCAACCAAATTTTGCAGATTTCAGCCAATTTGAAGTATTTGCTGCATCAAGTGTAAATGAAGAACAAGATGATGAAGCTGAAAAGCATCCAGAGGTCTTGCCGGTCAGTTTTCTGGGGTTTATCTCCTTTTCTGCAGGGAATTTCTTCCCACATTATGTTCACAAGACTATCATTGAACAAAGAAGCCCCTGAAAGAGTAAATATTAGATGGAACATCAGTGAGTAAAATACCTGCTGCTGCTACTTTGAGAGGATTTATAGTCCTCTTAGGTCAGTGCTTCTCAACCTTTGAAACTTTTAGCCTTTGACACTCACAGGTTGGAGTGTAATGGTGTAGTGTGGAAAGACACAAACACAACCATCTGCCTGGTCCTGGCTAAAACGTGCTCTGGGAGTTTCACCTTAATACTCAGTATCTGATTCTGTGACTTGGTGAGGATTTTCTTGTGATAACAAGCTACGGTTACCATAGCTACATTCTGTTTGTATGAGAGTAAGTTGCCTTAGTTAGGCAGATTTACAGATGACAGGATGCCAAGATTCAGTCCTTGCAGTCAGTGTTGCAGAAGCCCCTGTTGTAGTTCTGGTGGCAAGAGCTGCTCTAGGATTCCTGACTCGACAGCAAAGCTGTGGAGTTGGAGGCACCAGTTCATGCTGAACTTCCCTTAAGGATGTAAAAACACATGTTTCTTTGACTGGCATATTATAGATAAAGGTTTCTCATATATCTGATCCATGAAGACTTTTCTGCTAGCCACTTCTTCAAACCTGTAACCTTCTGCCTACTGGCTGCTGCTGCCAGTAGGGGGATGGGTTGTACCTCCCAAAAGGCCAGGGTAGCCCAGGGGCAGCCACAGTTGTGCACAAGGTACCGATACTCATTGCCCTGGTGTGGATGCATCCCCGTCCGCAGCCACAGGAACTTCCCAGACCAGCCACTCGGGTTCATTGCTGCAGCCGCGTCCTCACCCGGCTCCCCTCTCCCCGAGATCCAGTACCTTCCCTCCTCCTGTCCTTCAGTGTAGACAATGGTCAGTTCCCAAGGGTTTCTCCAGGTGCTTCTCATCATCATCTTAGCTTTCTTGTCAGAATGAGTAGTTTCTTAATGTTCACTCTCTGGTGTGTTACATACTAAATATATGCAGATTATATGTTACTTATAGACAATAACAAAAACCTATTCATCTCTAGGTTGAAAAATGTTCTGATCCTGCAAGTTCTCTTCGAGGTGCCAAAACAGAGAATAAAATTGAAGAAAAGACAGCTGCTAGTGCTCCTGCCAATGTGGTATGCAGAGTCTTTGATGCTGATCATTTTGTACATACAAAGTTCCACTGTGCAGGAAGACTTTAAAGATAACACAGATTTTAAGAAATGAAGTTACCCTAGTGACTGTCTAACCCATTGCCTTGCCTTTAACTTCTCACAACGAAGCTTGCTGTTACAGAGTTCTAGGCAATGCCATTCTATAATCTCTATTGGCTACATGCTACAGCAGCTCAGATTCATGTGGTTATGACATTCTTCCAAATATATGAAGTAGAACTTCCCTGTAGGTTAAATTCCATTTCTTTTAATTCAGTCTTGATTATAATAGGAAAAAGTCACCAACCTTCTAATGTTGTACTCTTAATTTTTTTCACCCGCTTTTAGGAGTAATTTTTTCCCCATGATTTTTTATAGAAACTTGTAAGCATACAGAAAAGTTGAAAGAATTTTACGTTATACATCCGTAAATCCACTGCCTTGATGTGCCATTCATATTTTCCTGCACTTGCTTTGCCATGTATCTGTCCAGCTGTATATCCTTCTATGTATTTATCAATTCTTTTCTTTTTTAATGCATTTCAAAGTAAATTATAGCTATCATTATACTTTGCCTTCGTGGAAACACTTTTGGTAATATTTTTTTCTTGGTATCATGCAGACATTCCCAATAGTTATTAAAATAGCATGTGTTACTGAAAAGTGCTTAAATTCTGCTTTCTGGGTACTTTTTTATTTTTTATACATTAGAAGTTCTGGGTTTTTTGTTTTTGTGAATTGTGTTTTTATTTATTTATTTTTCTTAGCTCGTAGCGCATAGTGGCTAAGGCACTTGACTGCTAACCAGAAGGCTGGCGGTTCAAACCCACCAGTCACTCCTCGGAAGGAAGATGGGGCAATCTACTTCCGTAGTGATACTGCCTTGGAAACCCAAGGAGGGGTTGCTATGAGTTGGGTCCGACTCAACGGCACATAACAACAACCAGCTCATAGCAACAAATTAAAAAATAGCACTTAACTAAAGAGTTGATTCTGTTAGGGACAGATTCAATCCCCAACAAAATACACAGTTGTTTTCAAGAATTCTAAATTGTATCTTACTGGTAGTTGATTTGTTTTCCTTTTCTTTTTTTTTTTTTTTAAAGAGTTGCCTAGACTTCCACTTTTTATAATAAATACTTTGATTCAATATTTTTACGTATTTTAGGATTTTTTAGTAGCCTGGATCATAATGAATGAGTATTTCTGGAGGTTCCTTTATTTATTTATTGAACAGGTATATATTGAGCATGTACCATATTTATAATGAAATGGTGACTTTTGAAGTCTTGAATCAGATTCAGACCTCAAGGAGCTTATGTTGCTCTGAAGAAACTGTATTATATGTTGCTTTCATGATTGTGATGTCAACTAGGGCCACCCTTTCTCATTGTAATTTAAATTAGCTGTTGCAACATATTTATAAATTATTTCAGAGTACGACAAATGGTTTTTAATTTCCAGAGAGCACGCAGCTTAAAGGACACAAACGCTGGTGTCAGATGCTGACTGACTAGGAGTCTTGGAGAAATGCTCATTGTTAATGGAATTTCTTATCTTTCAGAGCAAAGGCACAACACCTCTTGCTCCACCACCTAAACCTGTTCGAAGAAGATTAAAATCTGAGGATGAATTAAGGCCAGAAGTGGATGAACATACACAAAAGACGGGGGTTTTAGCTGCTGTTCTTGCCTCACAACCTTCTATTCCTAGGTAATCAAAGCAATTCCTAACACATTTGATTATTAGCAACAAGAAGCACAACTATTAAAAATGTCAAACTGATGGAATTTATGGTCAGACTAGATTTTAGTTGAGGAAAGATCCTTCACTATTCTTTGAGATCTTTTTCATTTATTAATAGAATTTCTTTTCCTTTTTTTTCCTTCTGTTATTAAATGCAATTCCAATTCCATTTTTACTCCCTGTCACCAGCCCTGAAGCACACTTTTTTAAAGTTAATCGTGTAGTGCAATTTTGACACTTCAGTTATGGTTATTCTAGTTCTGCAATTGGCCGACTAAGGCTGAGAGGCCATCTCTGGCCTATGAAATTAGAAAAGAAAAAAACACAGTATGCAACAGAGACCATATGGCCCCTAAAGCGTAAAATGTTTACTACCTGGCCGTTTATGGGAAGAGTATGCCAATACATGCTCTAGACGGTTTCTCTATTTAACTTAAACTCAGGTGATTATACAGAAGAAGCCTAATTAGAACAGTAACAACAGTTTAAACGTCTGGAACTTGGCTACATTTGACTGACCACTGAAACTGAACAAGTGAGGTGCAGCTATGCTGATAAGCAAAAAAAATGTTCCCTCTGTTTTCCATGTTTAGAAGTAGATCTGGAAAGAATGGAGAGAATTTAAAGATAAAAAATGAAGGTTGGTTTTTTTTGCCCCCTTTATCTTCTCAGATCTGTTGGGAAAGATAAGAAAGCTATTCAGGCATCAATTAGACGAAATAAGGAAACAAACACAGTTTTGGCCAGATTGAATAGTGAATTGCAGCAACAGTTAAAGGTAATGGAATTTCTAAATCTTTTTTGGGAAGTTCCAGGGACTCAGAGAATCTCAGAGTTGAAGGGGAACTTTGCGTTAATCTAGGAATTCTTACTGTATGAAACTTTCCACATAGTAAGAGAAACGTGTTTTGAATTTTTTTATGAGTCTTTTGATCTTCTAGTATAAAAGCAATTTTTTTATACTGAGTTCTGATGTGTACTGCCTTATTCTACATATATATAAGACATCACAGGAGACCCTGAGTGGCACAGATGTTAAGCACTCAACTGTTACTGAAAAGTTGGTGGTTTGAACCTACCCAGAGGCACCTCTGAATAAAAGCCTGGTGATCTCCTTCCAAAAGGTCGAATCCTTGAAAACTCGATGAAGCATAGTTATGTTCTGCAGCACATGGGTTGCCATGAGTCGGAATAGATTCCACAGCAGCTGGGCTTTATTTATTTATATATGTATTCATTCATTCATTCACTCCTATATTCATCCCTATACTGTTCCTCAGCCTTCATAAAGTAACCTGAAAGAAACATGGCTCTTTGTACTCTATGTAATCCTTAGAATATTGGATAATTGTTAGTTTATCCTTTCATAAAAGATAACTCCGATTCTATTAAAGGGACTTAAACAGATCTAAAGAAGAAGGGTGGAGGCAGGTAGAAAAAGAAAAGACCCACCTTAAATAAAAGTGGCACCGGCTGCAATCCCTTCAGTGTAACACACTCTTCTGCTTTCTCCCTGGCATCCTTGTCTCCAGTCATCCTTCTTTCAGGCCCCTTCTACCTTCTGAGCTTTGTTTTTGGGCAGATGCTACTCTTGTGGGGCACATACGGTTGGCTGTTCTGAGGATAACATTCCTCATGGATCTGTTGTTTAGCTGAAAGGTGATCCTTGGGGGCTGGTTCAGTTCCTGATTTGAAGGGTGCCTAAGGGCCTTAGTCTGGGGGTTCCCCCAGTCTCTGTCAGACAGTGAGTCTGGTCTTTTTTATGATTTTGAATTTTCTCCATTTTTCTCCCTCCCTGTCCAGGACCTTCTGTGATCCCAGTTGGAGTGGTCAGTTGTGGCAGCCAGGCACCATCTACATCTTCTGGTGCCAGAGTGGTAGAGGCTGCCCTTCATGTTGTCCATTAGCCCTGTGGGCTAGTTATTTCCTTGAGTCTTTGATTTTCTTCATTCTTCTTCACTCCAGATGAGGAGAGACCAGTTATTTTATCTTAGAATAAAGATTTTACTCACAAGCTTTTAAGACCCCAGTCGTTACTCACCAAAGTAGGATGTAGAAGATTGTCTGTGTGGACTATAATATGCCAGAGAATAAGGTCCTAAGGTCCCAAGCCCAGTGAATGAATGATATTCTTGTTTAACTCTTTGACCAAAGGCAAAGGCATTTGTAGTTGTATGATTATGAATGTGGTCCATTGTAAAGGAGGAATGCAAAACTAAGGGCAGTAGCTGGTGCCATGCCTTAAAGATGAAAATTTTGCTGATGCATGTTTTTCTGAAGCACTACTGAAAACCACAGAAACAAATATAAAGGAGCTATTTAAAAATCATTTTTCTCATTACCTCTAAGAGCAGGAAACATGAAGTAAGGTACCAAATAGGAAGTAGTAGTTCTAGTTAAATTTAGATTCTATCAGTACGATAAAGTGGAAGGCAAAAAGAAAAGTTAAATAGATTAGAATCTGGTTGCTATCTGAAGACTGCTCAAAATCAATAGTGATGAGAAACTCTGAATGAAAAATGAGTTTATTCTTTGTGAAACTGAAAGTCAGAATGAGATCCAGGAGTTACTATTCCAGATGTAATCATACGGAAGAGAAATCTACATTAACTAATTCATCCACAGTTCATCCAGAGAGAGGCTTTATACAAAATCCACAAGTCATACCTATCAGTTGCCAATAGTGGCTTTTTTAATAATTAGATAAAAAAACATTTTATTAACCTGATCTATATGATAAGGATTTTAATCATTAGGATCATACTGTAAATATTATGAATGTATAAACAATCTACCTTTCTAAAATGAAATATCTTTAAAAATATGAACAGCTGTCTCTATTCAATCTTAACAAATTTAGATTATTTTCTTGAAGCAGAGCTGATGTTGCATGTGCCTTTGGTTTTACATGCTTTGATGTATCACTTGACCTTTGTATCTTTTTCAGGATGTTCTTGAGGAGAGAATTTCCCTGGAAGTTCAACTGGAACAACTTCGACCATTCTCTCACCTATAAGCCAACTGCCGTTAACTGTGAACATACCCATTTTTAAGCGGTTCTGGGTTCAAAGCGAATTTGGAAGCCCAAACTTTCAGCTCACTGCTTAATTCAACATTAAATTTATGCTGTTTTGCCCTATATGTTCACCATTGTATTTAAGTGTCTTTTATTTTTTAACTTCAACAATAAAAGGGTCAGGATGACTTTTTCTGGAGGGTAGATTGTGTTTGTTGGCGCACCCGCCCTTGCTGTGCTGTAGCATTAGGAATACATTGGTCCACTGTCCTCACAGGGCCTCCCACTCTGATTTGATTTACAGAACGGGGTCCTCATTTACATATCAGTGCACACTCAAAAAATCTTTGTGAAAGGAAAACAAAATTGAATAAACTATTCATTTGTCCTCCTTTAATATTTTACATAAAGCATCTATATCTCTTCTATAAAAACCTATAAAAAGAGTTTACTGTTTAACTTTTGAATTGAAAGAACTATCCTGGGTAAGGCATTCTACCACAAAAACCAAACCAGACTCATACTGCCGTCGAGTCAGATCCAGCTCACAGCGACCCCTCCTTGGGTGTCCAAGGTAGTATCACTACGGAAGTAGATTGCCTAATCTTCCTTCTGAGGAGGAGCTGATGGGTTTGAACCTGGTGGGTTTGAACCCACAGCCTTCTGGTTAGTGGTTAAATGCCTAGGCACACCCCACCAGAGCTTCCTTCTGGAAAAGTCTTCCTCTCTGCAGTAATCACAGTTTTCCAGGAATCACATGGTAGGTACAATACTTTCAGACTTCTTTTCTCTATCTACTTGGGGGTTAGATTTCATATTTTCCTTGTGAAAATTTGATCACCTTCACTGGTATCTTAACAATGTTTGATGTGAGATTTTAATTCAGCAGCAGTCCTATAAGTCATGAAATAGATATGCAGACAAGCCTTTCTTAATTGTTCCTTCCAGGGGACTGGAACCACAGCCTAAGTGCTGTCCACTTGGAAACACCACAGCTTGATTTATATACTTAATTTTATTAAAAATTGTTCCCCTCCAGCGTTACAGAGATTTTTTTTTTTAAATCATTTTTGAATTTTCAATCCAAAATATTCTTTAGCTAGAACTTTACTTAGGAAAATATGATTTACTAAGACACCTTTAAGCCTGTTAATTTTAACCAAACAACATACTGTGCATTTTACGTTTTGGATTTTTTTTTTTTGTAATTGTGGTTTGGGTGAAGATTTACAGAGCAAACTCACTTTCCATACAGCAGTTTACGTATACTTTGTCTCATGACATTGACCACAGTTTACCACAATGCAACAGCTCCCCTCCCACTTCCTCCCCATAGTTACCTCTTCCCAGTGTCCATCCCTCCATGGACTCCTGCCCCCTGAGCTGTCTACCTGTGCATAGGCAGCCCTTCTTTCTCAATGATTGTTCTCTCCGAGGAGTGTAGGTAAATGTTCAACTCGTATGCCTGTCTTCTGTTTGGCTGGAAACCACAGATGTGGGTTCATTTCCAGACCTGAAGGGCAGCTAGGGGCCATAGTCTCAGTGGTTCCACCAGGCTCTATCAGACCAGCAAACCTGCCCCCCCCCCTTTTTTTTTTCTCCAAATGATTTTGAGTTTTGTTCCACATTGTTCTCCCTCTATATCAAGGATCTCCTACATAGATCCCCTTCCAAGTGGATGACAGTGGTAGCCGGGCACCATCTAGTTCTTTTGGTCTCGTAGTTGTATAGGCTGCAGATCGGATGGTGTACCAGTGGCTAGGACTAATTTTTCCCATGAATTTTGTTTTTCTTCATTCAGAGATCATTTTTAAGTAATGCATTTTCAAACTTACGAGGCCATGAATTATTCACAGAACAATTAGAAATTTATCAAAATTCCTAGTGGACCTTCAGCTATCTTGTCACCCATTCCTTTGCCATGTAGTAGTCAGGTTTTGCCTGTTCACAGAGAACTTGTAGAGCATGTCCTTTCAGGATGATCCCCTGTCTTGGGGTTTGTCGTGTGTCGTGCTCTTCCCATTGAGTCGGTTCTGACTCACAGTGACCGGATGTACAACAGCACAGAGCATGTCCTGCCTTGTGCCATCCTTACAGTCATTGCCATGCTCGAGCCATTGTTGCAGCCACTTCATCAATCCTTTCTCATTAAGGGTCTTCCCCTTTTATGCTGACCCACTGCTTTATGATTTCCTTCTCCAGGGACTGGTCACTTCTGGTAACAAAGTATGAGAGACAAAGTCTGGGCATTCTTGCCGCTAAAGAGCATTTCAGCTTCACTTCTAAGATTTGTTCCCTCTTCTGGCAGTCCATGGTGTATTCAGTATTCTTTGCCAGCACCACAGTTCAAATGCATCAGTTCTTCTTTGGTCTTCCCTATTCATTGCCCAGCTTTCACATGCATATGACGATAATGAAAATACCATTGCTTGGGTCAAGGGCACCTTAGTCTTGAAAGTGACAGCTTTGGTCTTTAACGCTTTCAAGAGGTCTTTTGCAGCAGATTTGCCCAATGCAATACATTGTCTGATTTCTTGACTGCTGCTTCCATGGGCATTGATTGTGGATCCAGGTAAAATGAAATCCCTGACAACATCAGTCTTTTCTCTATTTATCGTGACGTTGCTTACTGGTCCAGTTGTGAGGACCAATGATGTGTTGTGTATCATACCATATATACCTTTGGATCCCATATGTAAATTGGCATTAATTGCTGACTGACAGCAAATACTCCCTTTAGTAGTTTATTTTGTATATGGGATCATAGGTATGATGATGAATAATGCATGATTATATCTTAACAGAACCAGAGCTAGCAATTTTGTAATTTGTACACAAACTAGCACAATATTTAAAATACATTTTTAAACATTTAAATTTTGAAGAATTTGTATTTTCATTGTTGAAAGAAGGAATGGTTTAAATAGCCTAGGTTCACAATCTTAGATTGTCCCAGTACCTCCTGTTACCTTAAACAAGAACATAAAGCCACAAGGACCCTGACAACCGGAAGCTGCCGTGATTAACTTACATCAAGTATTAACTAGGTAAGGATGTACTGCTGCACACAACAGCTGAAGTTCGAAGTGGCTAACAAGCTTTATGACTTCAGTTTGTTATAAGAATCAAATGTAAGCTTTAAAGACTTAGGGAAGTATTTAACATCTCTTTTACTGTGCCTCACTTTTAAAGCAACTGTTTTTTTAATTTTG